CATTGCTCCAGATGATGCCTTACCTGTGGTCCTGTGGAACCGTTGTGGCTTAACATGAAATGCCGGTCACCAGCAAATGTGTCCACTTCTTGTCTCTCAGTTGGTGGTGCTATTTGGCTATTTTGTAGAAACAACAGGAAGTGGGAATCTAGCTAGTAGTGGTTCTTGGCCTGCCAGTTGCGACCCTTTGGGGGGTTGAGCGCCCCTTTCACAGGGGTCACATATCAGATTTCCTACATATCAGATAATTCATAACGGTAGCAAAATTACAGTTAGGAAACAGCAACAAAAATACTTTTATGGTTGGAGGTCATCACAACATGAGGAACTGTATTCAAGGGTCTCAGCATTAGGAAGATTGAGAACCCACTGAACTAGAACAAGCTGCTTAGTGATGATGGTCCTTAGGGTCTCCTGACAGTGCTGTTCTTCCCAATTGCATGAGGCTGAGTGACCATGGACTCGGTCCGTTGAAACTGTAAGGCAAGACCAATAGTTCCTGCCTTACGGTTTTCTCTGAGGTAGTCTGATCGTGGTGCCAAGAAAGTAACTAATAGAGAAGCAAGGGACAGAACTGAGATCACGTGACCATACCTGACCACGTGGTATGGGATGAAGACTTTGGGATTCCTGTTTGAAGAGTTTGCAGAAGCAAATTGGAAAGGGCTTCAGATTCTGCTGAGCAGAACTTAGTAGGTGATTCTGGTTAGCGTCCAGAAGACCAAAGTGCCACCAGGACGTGGGCAGTAGAGGCCACATAAGGTTTCAGAGAGAAGGAGGACCCTGTTGACAATTTAACTAGAGGTCATTCATGTTACTTTTGGGGTTAAAAAAAGGATGGTCTACTGTGGTAGTTGGGATGTCATTGGCCCCCAAAATCTCATAGGGAGTGGCATTAGGAGGTGTGGCTTTGATGGAGTAGATATGGGCTTGTTGAGGAAGTGTGTCACTGGGGGCACAGGCTTTGAGGTTTCCTATGCTCGGGATATCGCCCAGTGTCTCAGTCAACTTCCTGTTGCCTGCAAGATGTAGGACTCTCAGCTATTCCTCCAGCACCGTGGCTGCCTGCATGTCACCTCGCTCCCCGCCATGATAATAGACTGAGCCTCTGAAACTGTAAGGGAGTCCCCTCAATTAAATATTTTCCTTATAAGAGTTGTTATGGCCATGGTGTCTTTTCACAGCAATAAAACCCCTAAGACATCTACATTCTCAATGTTAGACAAAAATACAAATTTTCATTACGGGATAAACATGAGCCTTTAGGGTCCAGGGGTAGTATACTATGATTTGAATATAAACTGTTCTCTACGGGCTCACATGTAAAACACCTGGTCTCCACCTGCTGAACCATTTAGGAAAGTTCTGGAAATTTTCAGGAGTGGGGCCTAGCTGGAATTCGTAGGTCACTGGGATTAGGCTCTTGGAAGGGCCCGTCCTTTTTATATTCTGTCTTTATCCACCATGAGGAAGTTCCTTCCACTGCCACATGTTCCTGCTGCCATGATGTTCTGTCCAAGCACATGGAGCCAAGCACCACAGAGTGAGAGCCCTCAAAGCCGCGAGGCAAAACAACCCTTTCCTCCCTGACACTGGATTCTTGGGAATTTTGGTCACAGTTACAGGAAGCAAATGATACGGAGAATGAGCAAACAAACATCAGACCAGGCTGCTAATTTAACAACAGCTCCTTCTATTCTCTTTTCCGCCTACCCTCCTGGGCTGGTTAGTGTTTGTTTGTTTGTTTGTTTATTTGTTTGTTTGTTTGTTTGTTTTGTCAGGTTGACACACACTAGAGTTATCTAGGAAGAGGAACCTCAATTGAGAAAATTCCTCCATCAGATTCCCTGCAGACAAGACTGTGGGGGCATTTTCTTGATTAACGATTACGTGGCAGGGTCTGGGCCACTGAGGGCAGTGTCACCCCTGGGCATGAGGTCCTGGGTTCTAGAAGACAGGAGGCCCAGCAAGCCAATAAGCAGCACTCCTCCATGGGCGTGGCCTCAGCTCTGGCCTCCAGGTTCCTTCCCTGCTTGAGTTCCTGGCCTGAATTCCCTTAGTGATCCTCTGGAATTGTAAGATGAAGCAAACGCTTTCCTCTCCAAGACGCTTTCATCCACGGTGTTTATCACATGGTGTTTATAGAAAGTAAATTAAAATACTCTCTTTGCTCCGCCCTTCTAAGCCCTGCTTCCTTGGGTCATATTCCTTCATAAAGAGCCAACCCATAAGCCCCTGCCTCACACTCAGAGCTCTGGGGACTCAGACAGAAGCACAGGCACAAGAGATCAGGGATAGGGTGTGAGGTGGGCATCAGGCTGTGGCAGGAAAGAGCATGACAAAGGAGGCCTGACTGAGGATGAAACTCAAAAGGACTTGAGGGAGGTCAGAGAGTGAGCCAGAGCCTGTCACAAGACCATTCCTGGCAGCGGGAACAGGACAGACGGGCCCTAGGGCAGAGCATGCCCACCGTGTATGAGAACTGCACATAGCCAGTGTAGCTACGGGAGTGGGGCAGGGGTGATAAAAGCTGCCGTAAGATGATGACAGCCACATCATTTCCGGTTTTTACAGAATGGGCAAAGGTACAGCGAGATGATGGGGTCTGACTCAGGTTAAAAAAAATCCCCTAGCTGCAGTGCTCAGAAAAGACCCAGGTGAGGAGAAGAAAGGAGCCTCCCTGTGCCCATTCCACTTGTGAACGGGTGACCGCAAAATACAAATCCTTCGGGAAAGACTTCGTCACTAGGCAGAGCTAGCCGAAGAGGGCATGAGCTGCCTTGACCAATGATGATCCCTGACATCTGGGGTATTCAGAAACAGGCTGGGTAACCTGGCACCGGGACATGCCCTCCCTGGAGGAACCAGGCTTCATGTGGCTGAGTACAGGTTGGGAGGGGGAAAGACCTCAGGATGTTTTTAACCCCAAGACAGGGAGGGCACCTGAGCCAGAGAGAAAATGAGCAGCTTCAAGTCCCAGAGGAAATCAGTCCAGAATTAAAACAGAACCCACAGCTTCCAGTGCCTGGAGAGTGCAACATCGCTTGTCTGGTTCCATGCTACCACCTGAAACAAATGAGCTCTGTCCTCCACATGCTTTGGCTTAAATCTTTTATTTGGGGCATACGAGTACAAGATCTAGGGAAACAAGTGGCGATATGAGAAGAGGAACTTATTGTCATGAGCACACACTACAGAAGCAGAGGTCTGGCTGTAGGCCATGCTCATTGTTGACTTAGTCATTCAATGGGATTTTACTGAGCTCTTATTACATGCTCAATAGAGGTAAATATGATGCGTTGAATCTGTGCTATTTGGAACCTATATTCTAATGGGGAGTACATCCAAGAATGAGGGATGACAACAGGTCTGATGGGTGTTCCAGCAAGAAAGAAAGATTCGGTCATGGAGACCCAGGGGCGGGATAATGTCACTGTACCAACAGATCGCCATGGTGGGAAGGATAAAGGAGGATTACATTCAAAGAACACAGAGTGAAAAGCAAGGCAGCCGAGGAGGGAATTAGAGCCTGAGTTGTGGAGAAGTCAGGGAGGTTCATCAGAGGAGATAAACCAAGCCAGGCATAGTTTATAAACTGGATACAAAGGAAGCCGCCGCTCACTTAGAGGTATTGTACCAGGCAGTAGAGGCAGGGAGCCAGGAGATTTGCTCTAACTGGGGGTCTTCAGATGCACCGCTATCTCTTTCAAAGCTCCCCAGGGTTCCTAAAATACAGCCAGGCAGGCCTGAGAAACCCTGAAGTGACCAGAGGCCTCTGATAGACCGAGCCTGGCTCAAGGTGGCTACTACTGTAGTATCCAGCACCCAGATAAGAACTTGCTAGAGGGTGGGTACCCAGGATATGTGGCTGACTAAAGAAATTAATACTGTGAAGGAAGAAGTCACAGCTGGTTACTACTGTCAGAGCGAGGGCTGGCCCGTGTGCTGACCTACCACATCTCTCCTGACTATGGACAGGATTGGCCCAGAGCAGTACCTGGGTAGTCTCAGTAAGAGAGAAAACAAGATACTGGGGGAGGGGAGGGAGTAACTAATGGCCCAGTAGAGATCAAGGGCCATGTGGGGAATCTCCAAGGTGCACTAACGATGTCCTGAAGGTCTTTATGTACCCCGTCTAATGTAAGTGGCCCTCCTGTCTCCCCCACTGCAGACATTGTGACTTTGTATAAACAAGAAATGGCAGGACAGGAAGTAGGTTACTAACAGAGACGGTGAGCAAGGTCCTCTCTACCGCTCGGGGTGGGCAGCAGGCCATTTCCAGCTTTTCTCCTCTCCCCCACCAGCCTTACTCTACCCTCTATTATCAGAGGGTGTCTGACCCTGTGACTGCAAATCATATGGCATGCCTTTTTGAAGAGATGTGAGATTCCGGGCACTCTCTACCAACTAGTTATTTTGTAGCTTTAATTTACCCTTTCTTGCTGAGATGCCCCATCCCTGTGGTCCAGAGAGTCTCCTTGGCAAAACAAAACAAAACAAAACAAAACAAGCCATTGTGGAAAAGCCAGTCAACTATCATTTCAGCAAAACCATAGACAGCCAGGCGGTTTCCCTGTTCTGGTCCTCAGCACTGCCGAATGAACAGCCGAGGATCTGAACCCTGAAACCCCTCCACCCTAACAGAGAGTGACTCTGTGTGGTTTTCTTCCAAACCTCTCTAAATTCTATGCTGGCTCACAAGCACTGAGTGGGAGGCCTCACTGTGACTCTACCCGGCGACCAGTCTTCTGTCAGCCAGACAGACTGTGGGATCCACCTGAAGGACAAGGTGCTAGGAGCTTCAAGTCTGGGAAACATAGCAAAGAACAGTGGAACAGGCAGCCGAGTGCCCCCCCCCCACACACACACACCTCTCTACTTCAGGGGAAACTACTGTGTGTGCATGAGGCAGAGCTGTGGATCAGGCTCATTTTGAAGGCAAAGAGGTTCCTTTAAAGCTATAACTCGATGCTAGGTAATGACCAGGACAGAGGAAAAGATTAGCAGGAGAGTAAAGTCAAGTTCATTGGCTTTAAGACCTTTTGCAATGACCTAGTCCTATAATTTCCAAGCTTGTTTTCCTTTTGAAGCAATTAAGCATACACACACACACACACACACACACACACACACACACACACATCCTTACATGGAAAGCAGTTCTGTTCTGATTGCAGCAAGGGAGACGACAGAAGTTGGAAGGAGCTGTTGGACGAGGAGAAAGCAGCTCACTCACTCCATCTACCTCCCAAATCAAATGTCCCCGGGGTACCTAGAAGGACTTTGGAACCCTAGATTTCTGTAGAAAAAAATCAACGATCCAGCCCAGACCCTTAATTTTACAGATGGAAAAATTGGGTAGATTGTCCAGGCTTCCCACTGAATCAATGACCGCATCGTGTTAGAACGTGCCCCCATTTTCCCAAGCCAGGTCTCACCTCATCCCCTTCCCACCAGCAGACTCCCCACCCCACCCCAAGCCTCAGACCCACGCGGGAATCCTAGACAGAACTGCGGAAGGAGAACTGCAGGTAGATGATGAGCAGCAGGACCGTGGCCCAAAACAAGCACCAGGGAACGGAGCAGAAGTTGCAGCCTGAGCCCGCTTCCGCCTGTGGCTTGGTGGGGCTGGGCGCACGGGAGAAGGTGTAGGTGGTCGCCTCCTCCTCCAGCAGCTTCTCGCTGGGCTTCCAGTGCACGATGCCTTCCTGGCAGGCCTCGCAGAACTCGCCGCGGTGTCGCCGGTTGTCCTGGCGGCTGGCCACGTGGATGCGGTAGTGGCCACCGCGCTCCCCGTAGCACTGCTCGCGCAGGCTGGTGATGAGGTTGTCCACCAGGCTCTCGATGTTCTCCTCCAGCATGCTGGACTCGTCCAGCCGCGCTGTGCCGCACTCGTAGCACAGCTGCTTGAACACGCGCATGCGCACCGAACCAGCGCGCTGGGCACGGTCCAGGTACATGTGGAAGAGGATGACCACATGGGGCGACTGCCAGGTGTGCCAGCACCAGGAACAGTGGAACCTGCCAGCGAGGGAAGAGAAAGAGAGGGCCATATGGAGGGATGAACAGGCCAGGAAGAGGTAAAGGGATGCGGAGGCGGGCAGAAGCAGAGCCCAGGGGTGGGGCGGTATGCTGACCGTCCCCAGGGTTCATTAGCTCCCCCAGGAGGCCACCGTCCTTGGTCTATGTGAGTGCCCAAGGGACAAGACTTGGCACACGGCATCTAGCAGTGGTCTGCTTCCTGGTTGCTTTCCAGAGACCTTGTCTCCCTTCTGCCTGGTTTCCTCAGGCCTTGTCCTTTGCCCCAACTCTAAGGAACTCATTCTTCACCTATAAAATGCTCTGGGTGCCTTGAGTCCTCTGCCCACACCACGTGAAGTCTGACAGCAAAGCTAGAAGATCCACGGGCCTCTCTGTCAACACTGACTGAACAGGCCGGGCCTACATCAGGAGAAAATGCATGATTAACACCAACTATTAGCACATGGCCAGAGCGGAGGCATTCCCAAATCCTGGAGGTAGAGGCAGTGTGAGCACAAGGTGACCCCGCTCCTGCCAGGACCAGCATTTCCCACACTGACCAGTCAGCCGGGGATCACAGTTCAGCAACCAATTCTGAGTGACACAAAGCCCCCTGCCGACATCTGATGAAGGAACTATTTCTCTCACTCAGACCACACTTGGATTTTCAAAATGTCAGAATTGGAGGGGCCGCAGAAATTAACCTATCACTCATTGTCTTTCAAGACACAGAAAAAGAGCCATCCACGTACACACAGCTGGTGAGAGGGAGCATCGGTATCCTGCTGACTGAAACGGATGGAACAGAACGGAGTTGACTGGGCCAAACTAAGCAGGAAGGCCTTTGCTTCTGACCCAGATACCTGCACCACTCAGCTGCCCTCGCTCAAGTCTCAAACGTATGTCTGAGCCAAGACCCGTGAACTGGACCCAAGGAGTAGAAATACTAGGTTTTCTCAGATATTTTTGTACCTACAAATCACCCGGGAGCCTTCTTAAAATCTGGGTACTGATCTGAGTGTGGAGGGGCCCAATATTCTGCAGCTCTAACAAATTCTAGATGAACATGTCTATTGTCTGTCCTCATCCCTGGAGCGCAAGGCGAAGATGTCGGCTGACCCTTCATTCAGGCTTGGGGAAAGCATAGTCCAAAGAGGAAAGCAGATTGCTTGAGAGGCATGGAGGCCACAGCAGAGCCAGTTTCTAGCCTGCTCCATGTGATAAATGTTTTAAACCAAATCGAGCTGAATTAACAAGGTCTGAACTGAACTTCCCTGATACAAGAGCACAGATACCTTGAATCCCAGGGAACCCAAGCCTCCCTTTTCTCAGCTTATGGACAATTTTAAAGACATTATTAAAGTCTAAAAGTGTGTAAACTGTCAGTCAGAAACTAATAATTATATATATACACACACACACACACACACACACACACACACACACACACACATATATATATTCTACCTTTTTATTTGCTAAGTGGAGAAACTATAAGAACAGTTCTAGCGGTCAGTAGAAGAGCTGAACTCAAACTGGGTGTCCCTTTTTGGAACAGCCTGCCATCTAGTCTACAGTAGCCTAACCGTGAGACTGAAGCAGGCACTTGGGTTCTATGTGTCCTTCTCTCTCCTCTGAAGGTGGCCCAGGTCTAGGGTCCCAGAGGCTGCCTGCAGGTCCCTCTTTCTGGGCCACTCACCTGCCTGAGGCATGAAGTTCCAGGTACTGCTTCCAGCCAGGGGCCAAGACATTGTGCTTGAGGTTGGGGTCTATGATGAAGTCCCAGCTGTCAGCTGGCTTCGCCTCCTCCATCTTCTCGTAGAAGACTTTCTTCCACTCGCCTGTGGTCACGCTCTTACACATGTCCTCGTCAGGGATGAGGGAAGGCAAACTCCACTTTATAGAGAATGTGGGGAGTGAGGGTAAGTGCAAGGCAGGGCAGCGCAGTCTCCACGGTCTAAAAATCCTCATTGGCAGGACCAGGAGGAAGCAGGACCCAGCTCCCTCCTTTGTCCGCAGTGGAACCTGTTTCCAAGGCAACCAGGCAGGGTGCCAGGAGACACAACTTGGGGAGGAAAGAGTCTCTGGAAGGGTACTCCAGCGCCCCGATTGCAGTCTGCAGAAACAAGGTTTCTGAGTCTAAATGATCCAAGGCAGCTTGGGGGCCTGATAAAAGGCTAGACTGCAGACCATATCATCTTGGCCCACAAGAGCATAGAGAGGAGATGACTTGAGAGCTGGCTCAATTTCACCTTACTGCCCCCTGGAGGCATCATCAGCACCTGGCTGCTATGGCAACCACTATGCCTTAGGGAGCCAAGGAGACATGAGGGATGGGAAAATGTAGACTTGTTAGTAGGTAGAAGCATAATGTGGTCTCCCTCTGCATAGCCGCCCCTCTCATACCTGAAACACTACCATTTGATATACCTCATCAGAGACCTCATAACTCACAGTGACTCTGTCACCGTGCAGATCGTATAAATGGCAGAGCCGCTGATGAGCCGCTCCAACTCATTCATTCCCCCGTTTGAAGCATACTGATGTGCCAGACCCCTATGCAAGGTGCTTGTAACTGGGTATGTACCGGGTAACAATAATGTCATGAGATGCATACTTCAAGAACCATTTACAAGAGCAGCCACCTGTGCCCAAAGGTGAAAGTCGTTGCATCACCCAGGTAGCTAGGCAGGACTACTTCCAGGCTGGTTTCAGAGGAGTGGTGGAAGAGAAACCATCTGAGGTAACACGGCCTGCATATAGAAACCTGTAATCTGTTAGTTTATTTAATGGTAAAATAGCTCTCCTTACTCACTTTGATCCAGATCATTGGAAATATTCAACAACCATTGAACAGAGCAGGGGCTGAGGAAGGCAGGCTCGCTAACCTCACTGGAAATTCGTTGAGGGATAATCAGGGGGGAACATAAGATGGGGGGGGGAAGCAATTTTAAACATGGGACACTGGAACAAGGGATTCAAGGAAGGAAAAGTACCCAGAGGATTGTGGCTCTGAAGGGGACTTGGGAACCGGGAAAGTGATTGTGCAGGGGTGGGCTGGGAGACGGGTCCATCCACTAAAATGAGCAAGGTCTGTATCAGGCTCTTGGGAAAGGGCCAAAGCTGGCCCTGTGGGGCGGAGCCTGTGCAGGGGGAGCCAGGATAGAAGCTAAGTGTGCAGATGGGTTAGGTGGTAGAGACAGAATCCACCCTGGGATGGGAGGAGATGAGCAGGTGGAACTGGCTGATGCTACATGTTATCTGGGTAATGACACCATTGCTGTGTCCTGAGGCTGGTAGCATGAGATATCGCTTTGCTCATCTCTGCCTTCTCCCTTCTCCCTCCAAGCTTCCTGAAGGTGTCAAGAGGCACCTGAGGCTCAGGAAAGGATGACAGATAAGAAGGGAGCTGATTCCATCTTCCACATCTTCCTCAAGTCAGGTGTTGATGATGGAACCCACGGCCTGCCAGCGGCTTGCTCCCCAGGACACGTGGCTGGTGGACAACAGGAACTCAGGGCCTACTTATTGGGGGCTAGACTTATAATTTTTAGCTTGTTGTTTTTCCTTAAAAGTTCATACATGCTTATTACAGAAAACTTATAAAATAAAGATAAAATTAAATAAATGCAATGCTCTTCCATAACATCCCTATCCAAAATAACTGTTGTTAGTATCAAGATAAATACTATAGGACATGGTGTCGTGTTTTATAAATAACAACATCTCATGAATATTCTTCTAAGTCATTAGTATTATTCTCTAGTCATATGCCATAGGCTGCATTATTCTGTCATATGAGTGGGCAAAATTAACGTAGCCCATCTTGTTCTTGGGGCAGTGAAGTTGGGTTCAGTCCCTCACAGATGAGCCCTTGTGTGTTTAAAACTCACGCCCATAAACGTGCATTCCCAGCATCAGAAATAATGCTGCTTACAGTCAGAAAGCACATCTCTCAGCCGGGCATCTGTGACTCGCACTTGTAATCCCAGCACCAGAGAGTCAGAGGCAGGAGGACTGAGCTCAAGGTCGTCCTCAGCTCCATAGGGAGTTCATGATTAGTTGTCTCAAAACATAGAAACAAAAAGGAAGCCATTTCCCGACGGTTCCACAAAGTCTTGCTGTGGCTGCAGAATCTCCTATGGTGGGAATTACATACAGATTGCCTGCAAATCCTGAAACTGGAGGTTAGGAACGAAGGGCCTCAACTGGCCAAACAGCTTGGTGGGTAAGGACTTTGGCCACCAAGCCTGACAAGGTGACTGAGTTCTAAGCCCAGGACCCACAGAGTGGAAAAAGAGAACTGATTCCTGAAAGTTGACCTTTGCATTCCACATGCACACCAACGCCATTCCATACATACTCTATAAAAATGGTGGGCCGGGGGCAGAGAATGTAATGAAAACTTAAAAATAAAAAAGGCCTGAAAAATCTAACTTTTCTATCTGGTACCAGACACAGTCCTCCAGGTACTCTTGACTCTGCATGGATGATGCCCTGGTGGACACGGTTCAGCCTCAGTTGGTTTAGCAATGGGATGATGAGAAGACAGTGTCGTCAGTTGTTAACTGCATCAGCCCTGGAATAGCCCATGCCGGTTCGTCGTTGTTTTGTTCCGAATTCCTTTCTATATAGCTATTCTGTTATGTCTGATGTGTATCTTTTCATTAGGGTAAAATGTGTCATTGTGTGAATATATATTTATATTTACATATGAACGTGCAGCCTAATAGCGATCACTAAACAGCAGCAGGTCTCAGGCCCTGTCCCAGATTCTTTATCCACAGTAGTTTATTTTACCACAGTGGCAGTGGCAGCCGCTTCATCGTACAGACACCCCTCTGTAACCGAGAGCTTAGATAACCCGCCCGGGGTTCACCAGTCAGTACTGGCTGAACTTGGATTTTGAACGAGTATGACTGCTTTAAGCAGTGTGCTGTCCAGTGTGGAGTCAAGGACACACTGTTTGCTAGTTAAATGAGTGTGCCCCGTCTCACCACCAGATGCGCCCATTTCAGCCTCCGAGGGTTGCAGACGCGACGAATCGGTATCCTTTCAGCAAATGGCTCCCTGTGGTATGCTGAGGCCACAGCTCCTCTAGATGAGGAGAGAACAGCAAACGATCCCCCAGGCACTCTTTTGCTCCCAAGGTGCCACCCTCAGTGTTGAATTTAATGAATCAATCACACCCACAAACCCACAATGTTCAGTATAAGTATTTGAGAGCCAAAAGAGTCCAAAAATCCTTCTCTAAATTTGGAACGATTCCCTAATCTGTATGTCATCCTTGCCCAGGGGCCGTGCTAACCCTCTCTGCAAGGATCCAATTTTGGTATGTGTGCTGCTGAAGTGAGCACATAGTCTGACGTCTTTCCAAAGAAAATACAGTCCAAGTTGTCTCTGTACACAACAGCCCTGCAAGATCATAAACACTTGGTGCCAGGTACTCAGGCTCAGTGGAAAGAGCTGTGTGTCTGGAATCAGGAATTCAAACACCCACACTGCTAGCCCTTCTGCCAGCTAATCTTGTGACCTCATGTGAGCCGTTTACTTTCTCTGGGCCTTGATGTGTGCATGCATCCACTCAAAGAACCAGAGTAGGTGAAAAAAAAAAAAAAAAAACCTCTGTGGTTCTCCTGACTACAGCCATGCATGCATGCTTCAAAGGGTTTTAGACTTAGTTGGATAATAGAAGGTCGGATGCGGTCATAGGGTAGACGAGAACACTTCAGAAGAGGAGTGCAGGGTTGCCTGGAACCAAGTGCTGACTCCTTGGAGTCTATGGTGTAGAGCCTGCTGCTCCCCGCAGGGCTCAATCCCGGGTTTGTACTAGAAACAGTAAGAGGGGCGGGAATTAAACCTAGAGCCACTGAATATGAACACTGGAAATGACTCGGGAGTTCCTTGGGATATTTCCACAAACCGTTAACTGAGTCAGCACTCTTGTCTCCGAATGAAGGCAGTCAACTCTGAGATAAGTTAACTGAGTTAACCAACTTCTGCAGTTGGTTAAAGATGGAAGCGGTCAGAAGTGGTGGCCAGGGAGAGCTGGAGGCTGGAGAAGTTCCTAGACAGACTCCTAAAGCGAAGAGAAACGGACAACAAACATGGTCAGAAAGAATCTTCTAGAAGTATTTGGCAGTTGTTGCTACAATAAACATTCTGATGAAAAACAAGGACACTAAAAGTGAGAATCACTGTGTGTGTGTGTGTGTGTGTGTGTGTGTGTGTGTGTGTGTGTGCGCGCGCATTTAGCCAACTGATGCAATCCCCATTGGCACAAATTAAGTTTAATTTGAGACCTGAGCTTGCTTTGCAGAGGCCAGCGCAATCCACCCTTCTGTATAGCAAAGTGCTTAATAATAATTTTAAAAAAACTACCAAGACTAAAAAGCAAGTAAAAACTTGCCCTTGTTGAATGAGCTCTGACGCTATGGAGTCCAAACTCACAGATCACAGATTTAAATGTCTGGAGCCTTTGGGTTCAGTTTGGTTTTTGAGAAAACCAAACCAAATATAATAAAATATTATGTGATAATATTATAAGCTCACAAATGGCTTAAAACTAAATCCCTACAAGAAAATACAGTGATTAAAAGAAAAGAAAGAAAACCATGCCTCTGACGTATTTGGCTTCATGGGAAATATAATATACAGCTTATTATGCTGCCATTGTTTATCAAGATTCTACAAAAATAAGTATTGTCCCTCTTAACATGCCATGCTAATGAAAAGCCACTACCGACCAGGATGGAGGTCACATCCCTGTGTGGCATTTGTGGACATAAAGGTGAATTTTGGGGAGCTACACCAAAGACCAAAAGTTTCCCCTGGGTCTCAGTGGCCAGAGATCAAAGATGTATACTTGCTTGATATCCCACAGCAAAGAATCTTTCTTCCCCAAATCCCCAGATGTGCTGAGCCACAGCAGTAAGCCTCTTCATGGTGTTGACTTAATGATGAAGATACAGTTACTACTCTCGATTTTCAGTTCAAAGGAATCATCATGGTTCTTCCTCAGTAGAAACAGCCTGTCCTTGGGAATCAAGCTCTCTACACCATCCTGGGAAGAGCATTACTAGCATACTACTGGAGCTAGCTTCGAGAGTGCCGTTGCCTTTTCTACCCCTTAATCATTTGGGACTAGACAGAAAAAAAAAAAAAAAAGAAGCACTGTATCTT